AACGGCTTGATGATACATATCTAATAATTGCTGTTTATCAACAATGGCGCTATTTTCTTCAATAAAACTCATTAACTCACTTGCATTTTACAACCTAATGAACTGGCATTTAAACGAATGATAGGCACTAAAACATTATATTTTTGTGTTGAACAAATTACACTTACTGCATCGTGCCTGCCTCTTGTAAAAAGTCCGTGTAGTCTACTATATCTAACAAATTTAGGATCGTCTGCGTGGTCATCTACAACGATGAAATATTGAATGCGTGGTCATCTATAACGATTAATATTGAATGTAGTTTCTTTATCTTTTTAGACTTCATATAATTAATTATTTTCTTCTGTCTTTCAATTACATTTTCTAAATCACATGGATTATAATTATCAAAATAAATTTGTTCTTTTTCATCATCCACGTGCAATTCATCCCTGATGTATTTTTTAACTTCTGTAAAAGTTGGGTCATTATGAACGCTGGGGGAAAATATAAATATTCCTGCAAATGAATTTCTATAAACATTCAAGATAAGGTTTTGGACTAAAACTGTTTTGCCTCCCGTCGATGAAGCAACTATAATACTTCTAAATGGTAATTTTAGCACGTGCTCATATTTGGATTGTTTGAATTCATATTCAGTTATGTTTATTGGCTTTATTATTGGGACATCTGTCATAGTTGATATTAAAGAAATGTAGAAAATTATATTTAAAAATTAACTTGTCATTAATATTAAATGGAACATCATTATGTTATGAGTGGCGGTGAATAACATAATGGAACAGGTTTTCCATTGCTTCAATCAATAAGCATTGAAGATAATTAGTTTTGTGTTTTGCTCGCGTGTGCAATGAAAACCAAGTGCTGTGCCCCACCAATAGCGATGAAGGGAGGGGCAAATGATAGATGAGATCCTGCTTTTTTTAGCTAAAAAGGTAGGTCATGCAGGGGGGGGTGACCATATATATATATATATACCTGGAGTCTCCATCACCCTTTAATTTTGGGTCAACGACCCCGTTATTTTAGGTACTGACCCCATTTTTTAAGGGCCATGGAGACTCTAGGTATATCTTGGCCCACCAAAAGGGGCACACAGAAAAGGCCCTCAGATTTTCTGACTCCACCAACAGTATTCAGATACATCGTATGATCTCGTAGGATCGGAGACCCCCAGAGGTGAGCAGATTAGAATCGCTCCCGGCGATTGAACATTTCGTTTCCTCGCTTTCTCGTTTTGTGGGGCAACATGTTCCTCATGGACCGACTAGATGAAAATGGTTGGCCGAATCTTATTGGGTCAAGGCTTTATACCAAATGTGTCTGTAGGGTTGTCTTGCGCTGTAAACCACGGAGCCGGTCCGGCCCCGATTTCGGCCCCTCCCCCCCCTTCCTTCCGATGCGCCCCGGTTCCAGGTTTCTGGGGTCCCTGGCTCCAAGATCGTCTCCAGCTCTTTGAGGACCTTGGAGTTTCTCCTGAGCGAAGCTCCACCGAGGTCGTCACAGAAAAATGAGAGCGAAGGTCCATCGAGGGCCTTTTCTGTGTGCCCCTTTTGGTGGGCCAAGATATACCCAGGGTCTCCTTCTGACCCTCAAAAAATGGTTGGTTATTGCCTAAAATAACGGGGTCGTTGACCCATTTTTAAAGGGGCAGAAGGAGACTCCAGGAAGTGAAAACAGGGTGAACGTCGTGTAGCACTCGATTGGATCAGGCAAGAGGCGAAGCTTTTGGGACCTGGGGCGAAACGTGGACCAAACTCGACACACTGAAAAGTCAAAAGGACAGCTTTGCACAACTGAGATCTTTTGCGCGGGGTTCGTCTTTTTGAGGGGTCCCCCTTTGAGGGTTGTTTTTTGTTTTTGTTTTGTGGTTTCAAGAGTATCGTTTTTTCTTGTGGCGTTGAAGGGAAACCATTTTGGACATTTCGCCATACGCCACTACCACGTCGGAAGCCGGTAAAGGGAAGACCCGCAAATCAGCCCATGAAATCCGGTCCACAAATACCTTCCACAAGGCCCAAACACGTTGCAGCCGGGACCTGACCCAGTTGCAACCAGAAAAGGAACCAAAAGACCCAAAAAAGGGGCCGAAACAAGGGATTTACCACCACCCGCGTCCACAGCAACTGCTGCTTGGACAGTGCCAACAGGATTTTAGACATAGGAAAATGCAGCCAAGTTGGGGGCCTGGTAGAAGGCAGGAGCCTTCGAACTGGGAAGCTCTTTGACCCTGGGAATCATCACCCGCAAAGGACAAATATGCCAGGCCACAGTGGCCATGCGCCCTTGTCCAGTGAATTTGAAGGGTTCCGCCCCCGAACTTGAAAAAACAAGCATGACTGTGGGTCAAAAATCGGGTAACCCAAATTACCCAAAATGGATCCCTGGCAAATGGAAACATGGACAAAAACCTGCGGTCCAATTCCTGTTGGTTTCATTTTGACCCACATCAGCTGGAGGTCCACTTTCCTTGGGTGGCAAAAAGCACGGGAAAAAGCGGAAAAGTTGGACTTGAGGTCTGGGTTGGCCATGTTTCAGCGTCGTCACTTGTTTCAGGGAGCACAGAAAGATGCGACACGATGGAAAGCGCAGGGGTTCGGGTTACCCCGAACTCCCCTTTAGTTGCGGGGCCGCTGTGCAAAACAAAAAACACCATGCGTAAGCCCCTATGGTTGTTTCACGACCTGTGAGTCAGTTTTCACAACCCAACCGACGTCCCAAATGTCTATATGGGTGTCCGTGCCTTTTTGAGGGCGCCCCTTTTTTGTGGGCTTGTGGTTTTACAAGGGAAGACAACGGAACAATCCCCACCAGTTGGGGGTTGCCCCTTTACAAAAGACGCACCCAATTTCGACCTCGAGCCGCACAAATTGCGCGGCTAAGGGGCTTCAGGCGCTCTTCTGCCTGGACATCAACCTCAGGGCCGAGCAGATGCAAGTTCCCCAGCAAATGCTCCTTTTGGCCAACATCCCCCTCGTCCCCTCCCTCCCCCCACCCCCCGCCCAAAACAAAAAAAAGAAGAAGAAAAACGGGGGTTGATCAGAAGGTTTCTTGGCTGAGACCGAGCCACAGGCCAGTTCCCACGCCTTGCTCAGATCCCTCTTTCTCCCGCCAAAAAAGCAGGCAACATTCCATGTGAAAGGTTGATCAAACGGTCCTTTGGGACCATAGGACAAGTTCATCCCATGGTAATATGTCAACCCAATCCCATGTCCGCAACGCCAATCTCGGAGAGGCTCATCTCTTGGCTGCAGAGGGCCGCTACTTCAGCCGGTTGAGGCTGCTTATGACTACAACTGGTGCCTGGTTGGTACCAGCTTGAAGTGGGTATGGCTCAATTTGTTTTCAGCCGGGGTTTCGCGGGTTTTAGTCCATGGTTCCATTTACCCCGGGCAGCCCATTTTGGGAATTCCCACTTTTTTGAGCCACAGCCAACTGACGTGGCGAGTTCCCTCTCTCCCCTCAGCGCGGCAAAAGCGGCTCCGAGCCCGCGGCCCAATTGCTCATGCCCTCCGGCAGGGCTTGAGAGCGCGTGCGCGCCCGGCTTTGCTGCGCAGCGTCTGTCGGTTTTCAGCCGCGGGGGTCACGTTTTCATGCGGCTCTTCCAGTGGGACTGAAAGAAACAAGACCAAATTAGATAGAACTATGCAAGTATTGCGCTTCGCACCGAATACTCCCTAGGCCTCAACTCAACTTGGCGGCTCCTAGGATTTTGAAGAAAGCCGCTGTTTTTGCTGAAGCTTTTTGCTGGCAAGGGAGCTCGCCCTTGATCAACCTTTCTGGTTTTGAGGAATTTGGCGCATCTTCGAATCTGCGATCCACTCGTGGCAGCGCGAAACACTGACTCACTGAAGTTGACCCGCAAACGAGGGAGGGGGAGCTCGGGACGGCTTTGAGAATTTTTCGGGATTCACATGCTCTGAACCCATCCACCCAGAGGCTCCTGGGGCTTTCAATGGAAGACCCGACCCCTCCATTAGACACCCCGCTTCGCTGTTTGGGTGTCTCAAAACCTGGCTGTTTGAGGGGCCCGAAATCAATCGGGAGCGTCTGGGCATTGAAAACGCAAATCACTTCTGACCCAAATGGCCAACTCATGTCTGCGAAGCTGGACTTCGTGCCTGAGGACATCGGACAACGCTAAGCCCCAAACCGCCCATGTGCCACAAAACTGCCACAGTTGTAGGGCACGCAGGTGTTTCCACCCTTAAAATGGGTTGAGCTTTGATTTCCCTTACGCCAACCAAAAGGGGGTGTGGCGGCGGTGGCGGCGGCGGCGGTGGCGGCGGTGGCGGTGGCGTTGGTGGTCGCGTTGCTGTTGCTGTTGCTCTTGCTTGGTGTTGCTGCTACTGCTGCTGCTGCTGCTGCTGCTGAAGCGGCTGCGTTCAGGCTGCTGCTGTTCAGGCTGCTGCTGTCGCAGTCGTCGTTCATTGTCGCTGTCATTGTGTAAAATCACAAAGTCTAAGAGTGTGCGGCCGGAAGCCGAGACGGACCTGAGTCTTTCGGCCAGCCACCTGCACGTCCCCTCTCCGAACGGCGCGGACATTTTGCTCGGCATTCTGCGCGGGCTCGACTCGAGGCCCTTCTTGGGACCCGGTTCAGCGGCATTGTCTATGCCCCCTTTTTTCCGGAAGGGGTCGGGAACAAGAAGCCAACCAACCCCCCTTGCTCTTCACCTGCGAGCAAAAGGTCTCACCTTTAGGTTTAGTGGAGCATTGTGATGTGCTTCAGTCCCTCGGTGCTGCGAAATAGTCCACACCGACCTCGAATCTTGCCGCCCCAGGCCAAACCTAGTTCTAGATTCCGTTCCATACTTCGTCAACCTGTAAAATGTAAACGATTTCTGCTAAGTCTAAGATCTCCAGTGGCCATGCGGAAAAACAGGCCACCTTTTCTGTGGTCTATTCTAACCTGTATTTTCCTTCCAAAAGCCAGTCCAAAGATGTCCAACGCCTCATCTTCTTGGCGTTCAAACCGCCCCTTCCGAGAGCTCCAGCGACTCAGAAGGCGCGGAGGTCCGACAAGGGCTTCTCGTGGCACTCGTGCAAGGTGGAGACGCCCACAGACAGCGCCTGTCCAATGCGTCGCAGACAGCGCGCCCCTCAGCCAGCTCTCTCGCCCTTTACTTCCGCTAAGGTCCTCCAGATTTGAGAGGCTAGAATAAGGGTACCATATTTTTCCTGTAGTCTATCTTAGTAGGGAAACCCTCCCCAAAAAAAAGGGCACAAGGGCACTACTGGGGGACCTAGCTAAACCAGTTGTTGGTACAAACCCTGTGGCTGTGTAGGGTGCTTTGTTTCATCACCTGACCTTCTAGCTTCGGCTGGGGGTTTCGAGCAGCATTGACCTACGGGAAATCCGTTTTGGCGAAAAGTGGGTCATGTTTCAACCCGGAAAAATGCATCGGGGAGCGCTGAGCTGCGGCCTGAAACAACAATCTACAAATGGTTGACTTTCCATGAAGCATGTCTCTCCACAAGAATTTGTTGTTTGGGAAACTACGCTTCATGAAGGACGTGGGCAAGAATTGTGATTTGGTAGATGCCATTTAGGAATGTCCAACCACTGGCGGCCCCGATTCAAGAATTTGGAGCCATGGCAATGGGAAATACAGGCCATAACTCCCATTCCAGCTCGGTATTTGCCTCACTATTCCGCGAAAAGAAAAACAAACCCAAACAAAAACCAAAAAAAACAACACCAAAAAAAATGGCTGAACCCGGGTTGGTTCCATTGCCATCCTCAAACGGCTGGGTTCGGAACCCGGGTTGCAATGGCCCCAATGTTTGCTGAACTCGGCACCGATCGAGGAACCGGCCATATTTTTGCCCAGCCCCCTGCTGATCCTTCGCAAGGTTTCCTCTGAGATGCCTGCTTTCTGGTTACCTTCGCAAGGAAAAATGTATTTCTTTTAAGCTGAGCCGGGACAATTCCTAATTTCAACGTCATGGCGAAAGCAACACCTTGGGTCCATTTGGGGGTTATCCGAAGGCACATTTTCTGGAATCGATTTCGGTTAAGATCAGCTCTGGTGGTCCTTCTCTCATGGCGCTTTGCACCTCTGGTCTGTTCTAGGTCCTCCAGATTTGAGAGCTTAGAATAAAGGCACCAACTTTTTTCTGCCGTCTATTTGAGTAGGTGAACCCTCCCAACCAAAAAAGCAGCGGTGAAAGGGCACCAATAGCTGGGGGACCTAGTCTGGTCCATTGGTTACACCCAGGGTCCCACGGCGGGTTGCGGATGTTTCGGGAAAGCCGAGGGCTCGAGCGGCTCGCAAAATGGTTCACCCCCGCCCCCCGCCAGCATGCAGGCGAAGACCAGGCAGGAGGTAAAGGCACTCACCTACCGAGGAGAGACGGTTTTCTAGGGGTACCTTCCCCATTCTTTCCAGGGATCCTTCTTAGAAAACCTCCGGAAACCCAGGGAAAACGGCCGGTTTTGGGAAAGAACGATGGTTGAAAAGAATGGGAAATCAACCTCTAGAGGTCTTCGGTATTTACACTGGCCCTTTGATTCTTTCTCAAAAGTGTCAAAGCAAGGGCGTCTAACCAGTCCCATCGCGCTTTGTCTACGGCGGGTGTCAAAAGGCAAGTGCCGAATAGCTGGGTTTGTCTCAAAATCACCAGCCAGGTCCCATGACGCCGCGGGAGCTTGGCGGGCAGTTTGGTTCTCCAGCGATTGGAATCTTCGGTGTCCGGCAAGGCTCCCGGCAACGCAAGCCCCAAGAAGGGGGTACCAAGCCTAGGTCCTCCAGTAGAGAGGTTAGAATAAGGGTACCATATTTTTCCTGTAGTCAATTTTTGTAAGGGAACCCTCCCCCAAAAAAGGGAAAAAGGGCACTACTGGGGTACCAAGCAATTACCAGGCCTCAACAAAAACGGGGTAACACATCTTGCTTCAGAGAAAGCTGGGGACCTAGGTGCCCTTTTGGACATGGAACTTGGACCAAAAGCCCAGAAAACAAACACCGAACCACACAAACCTTGAAGACAGCTCAAAAGGGTTGTGTTGAAGCATAAAACCAGATTTATCAAATATTGGGTTTGAAGCTCAAAAGGAGAGCCCAAAGAGCATCCACGGTGCAACATCTTTGGTCTGCAGGGCGCTTGAAGATTGACCGACGGGTGGATACTTGCAAACGGACCACGGCCCAAAAAAAAGCACATGGCTTGCCTACCCGGACTTTTCGCGGATTTCCCGTGGACCAAAGGGTGCCCCATCTTTGGGAGAAGAACATCACGGTCGACTTTGAATGGAGGCGGCCTCCGAAAAACGGAAAGGTCACATATCGCGAGACTCGGGGGCCCGAGGGCCGCATCCTTGAAGCAATATCCACTTCAGATCATGCCACGTGCCAACTAGTCGAAGCCCGCCCCCAAAGAAAAACCACTCATACGGGGCATAATAAATTCAAAGTGGGCGTGAAATGGGCGCCAATCCATCTGAAAGCATCTGAAAGCAACCCACTTCTAATTCCCTGCTGTTTCTGTAGACTGTCATGAATCATGACGACTTCTGCTTTTACTCAGGGATGAACCTCGGCGGTTGGAAGCGCTCGGTTTCCATAAAGCTAAGCTGGGCAACACGGTCACCCAAGGGGCAAAAGGGCCACTTGCGGAGTTCAACTGAATCAATTCCGAATTGTTGCGCTCTCTCAAACGGATGCTCTCTGGCTGCTTTCCCTCGGTTGGATTGAAAGGGCTTGGGTTAATTTTGGGCAATCTTAGCTCGGAAGCAAGCCGCGGGCCAGAAGAGCCAATGGAAGCCCGCTCAAGCCCACTCCGCCAGCAACGCGTTTTGGTCTGGAAAAAAAAAGAACAGATTTTCAGTGATAGATTCCCCTGTCAAGTTTCCACCAAGCCAAACACGGACCGATCGCTAACGCCGGCGAGGAATTCCCGCGGTTCCTGCAAGTCACAAACCAGTGCAGCATATCTTGGTTGCCGTTGACCCCTCTGCAAAAGCTTTTAACTTGTTGTGGGTCCAACTCGGGAAATCCACAGTTTCAACCAGAAAAAACTCAAGTCCAAAGATTCAACAAAATAGCCATAAACATATATATGTATATATAGCCACGCAACGAGTGCCGACAGCAGCGCCAAAAACGCCGAACGGCCAAACTTGAGACCTCAAAGGCAAAGCCTGCGGTTTGCTGGTTGACTTCGGGTAAACGGGGGCGAACCCTGCAGCTCAGTTGCCCCTTAAAGACCCCGAAATAAAACCGGCGATCGCCTTTTGCTCTGAAACATGGGAGCCCAAGAGAAAACCCCCAAACTGGGTCAGATCAAAAGGTCGATTCTTGCGGCAACGCCACAAAAAAGAAAACCGAAGCACGCCGCAAGTCGGAGCTCCGATCGGCACCGTGCTGTTGCCGTTGCCCCTCTGCCATGTCCAGCGCTGGGCTTCCCCACGTAGACGGCGTGGCCGGCCAACATCTCAAGGCCCATCAGAAGCAGCACCTCCAAGGGCCAGCGGTGCAAACGGAGCGCATGGGAAGAACCTCCAGTTGCCAGACTTGCTCGAGGTTTCTTTGCTGCGGAAAAAAACAACTTAAAAAAAAGCTTCACCAGGGCGCAAAGGAAAATGATTGGTACCACCCGGGTCCCAACAACTCCTTTCCCCATATCCAAGCCCAAAGCACTGTTCAAACACAGTGGTTCAATAGGAGACGTAGTGCGGGAAGTGGGTCCTTTAAAGCAACTTCTTGGGCAACCACCTTGACTTGAAGTATTTTCAGACCCCCCCCCCCCCAAAATGTTCACTTAATCACGGCTCCCAATATTTCTCCCTGAAACATCACCCTACCAAAAAAAGGAACATGTTAGTTGAGTTGGCCCAAAGATGATATTTCCGCCCAAACGGGACACCCTGCAGAAATGGGGCCCAGCCCCAAAGATGTCAACCCTTCGAAGGGGCGAACCGAAGGTCCTACAGTCGCACTTGGACACACCGAATGCGGCAATGGATTTCACCCCAACGGCTCGACATAAACTAAACATGGGGACACCAAAGGGGCCCCCGACGTATGGGGATTCAAAAGTCCACCCAGTTTGAATAATAATTATTCACTGAACCTCATCGCAAAATGAGCAGGCACATGGTTTGTCTCAAAATAGCATTTTTGGACCCGCAAAATGGATGTTGATTGTCCTTTGGTTTCCACTTTCTTCACGAAATTGTGAGGCAAATGCGGAAAACGTGGACCAAACTTATGGGGAAACGGACCATTTCTGAGAGACCTGCTTTTTTTGTCATTTCTTTGCTTTGAGAGACCCTTTTACCAACAGTGCGTCCTTGGGGGTGCCCCACCACCAATTTACCCCTCGAGGTCCCAACAGTTTTCTCAGCTTCCGGCCACGGCCAAGGTGGAGCGCGTGAGGCTGGAGAGGCTGAAGAAGTCCCTGAACAAAGGCTAAGGCCCCGGTTTTGGCCTTTGACCAGTTGGATCCACTTGCTCAAAACCCATTCCAGTAAAACAAAAAAAACGATTCGCGTGGATGATCCGGTTAGTATCCGGGACAATCCCCTTGCCATAAATAGCTGCTGATCTCCGCCTTCTCAACCTCTTGAAACATGGCTTAAAACCGGGTTTTGAGTATGACTCAATTGGAGTAATAGGCTCAAAAAGTGAAAGAGCTATAGGGCAAGCCGTGGGTTTTCAAAGGAACTTCTCTTCTTCATCTACCATTTCAATTTTTGGGATTCCACTTTTTGAGCCACATGTCCATTTATAGCTTCCCACTACCATACCACTTGTTGAGCACCACAGCCATGGCGCGGCAATAGGCTACCACTATCAATCTCTGTGGTCTGAACGGCCCTTCTCTTACGCTTTTCAGGGGTCCAAGTGGCATTTAACCTGAAGCCAATGCTTGACCAATTCCGATTCTCCAGGCTCACGGTAAATCGTATATGATGATTATGCTATTTGTTTAAAAGGGGGGTAGGCACAAGTGGGGTACAAGGAGCGGGTATGGCTATTTCAAATTGTCTACTGCCAATCCACAAGCTCCGCACATTTCGGGTTGCCGCCTTGCCGCCTTGCGCAGCTCCAGTAGTCGTGGCGGCGAAATCTGTGTGCACAAACCGCCTACCACCCGCAAAGGGTGGTTGCCCGGCCCCCTCCCCCCCGAAGAAACAAAACACGCACACACACACACACACATCCTCATACACCCCAAAAGACGTGGTACCCGCGTCCATCCCTTCTCGGCAAGCCAATCAAGCTCCCGGAGAGAAAACCAAAAGAAATGCAGCCCAGAGACCTCCCCTCTCCCAGCGTCTTGTGCAAACAACACTTGCAACCCATCCTGATACCCCCAAAGAAACAGGGGCCCGTCTGCAAAAGTTCGGCCAGATCCATTTGCTGCCACTGGATGCAAATGGGCCTAAAATACCACCCAATCTAAATGGAAAGAAAACGGGGAACGACCTCGGGACCTCCACCCCCCCCAACACCCGTAGAAACCCACGCCAACAAGAAACCAAACCCCTTGGACACACATAAAAACTGACCAAGAAACCCGAAAACAAGAACCAAACAAAAACAACGGCGAATCAACATTTTGGTCGACTCGGGGGCCCCGGGCCGCACCACGAAGAACAAGGACCGGATGGCGAAGAGCGCCAGCGCGGAGGAGCTGTGCGGCTTGAGACTCGAGACTCGAGAAAGCGGGCCCCTCAAGACTGGGCGGCCCGTTTTCAGATCGGCTAGAAGTGAATAACTTTTGATCCCTTGATGGGTGAAATGGAAAAAAAGCCAAAAAAGCTAAAAGCTCATGGGTGAAATCTCCACTAGCTAGCGGAGAAAAGACCCCTCAGTTTAACTTTTAGTGGGTGAAATGGAAATCCCCACTAAACACTAAAAAGCTAAAAGTTTAAGGGGATGGCTGGGAAGCACCAAGTTAAGAGAGACGAGAAGAAGGCGCCGAATGAGAAAAAGATGAAAGGGAACCATTCGCCTAGGTGACCTAAACTGGTCAAAAAGATCGATCGTTTGGCTTTCCCTGACAAACACAATACTAAACCAGTGGATTAGCCATCAGTTTCATTCACCAAACCTACGGACACCCATGCACAACTGTAAGTTTGTCTCAAAAAAACCCAAAAAAAAAAAAACATCCAAGGAACCTCCCTCCCATCAAAAAAAACAAGCAAACTAGGTGTTCCGCCTTGGCCTAACAGGGACACCCACAACATGGCACCGGACGGGGATTTTCTTTTTCGGCCCTCGGGAGCCCCCCAAATTCCCGACACGGCACCCGCGCCAGTGGTTCCCCGTGCAGTCGCTCGTCTGGTAGGAATTCGACCCCCAAAATCACCGGGGCGCTCGTCGCTGAACGCTTCGGTTCCCCTTCCCCAAGAAGAACTGCTTCGGATTTGAGTTGATTCTGGCTGAAAGATGCCTCGGACTTGTCTGAATCCGAATAAATATGCGCCGTAAATACGTGGACACATCTGGAAAATGGCCAGATTCTGGTTCATATCTTGCCAACCGCAAAATGTAACATCACACGAATCAGAAGACCCCAGAAAAGTGTGGGTTCTCACATGGTAGGAACGTAGGAACCCAAACCTTTGGCCTTTTCCTCTGGTTTCTCTGCCCGCTTTTGAAGGGCCCTTTACAGCTCCCCCAAGTAACACGACTCGACGAGGCGATTTGTCGGCGAGGCGAAAAAAAAAGCAACTGCTTCAGCCGTCGAAACTCGCAATCCAAACCTTTGTTGGCTGAGTGGATTGGCCCAGGACAAGTCCGAACTCATGGTTTACCACCTCCATTTGCTCTCGTCCAGTGGAAAAAAGTAATACTAACTACCAGTAGCGATAAAATTTCATGAAAACCAACAAGGACAAATGAACATACTTGCCAAGCAAATGAAAGTTACCACAAACATAGGGAAAACCAACAAGGAAAAACAAACATAGGGAAAACCAACGGGGAGATTCCATTAAAACCAAGGGAAAGCTGAGCCACTGGAAGTTGCCACTAACCATAGTCCAACCCCAAAGCTGTGACTCAGACTCGCTGAGGAACGCATCTTGGAGCGCCTGAAGTTGAGGAACACATCTTGGAAGCTTTCCGCCTTGGCCAAGACCACCTTGGCATGGCCCAAGGTTGGGCTTGAAGAAGTGGGGTTCGCTTCCGAACCAATCAACACAAGGGACAATTAACCCAAAAAACAACTTGGAAGTGGGGATTCCAACAACAAAAAGGGAACCAACAAGAAAGAAGACTTGGACCAGAAGTGGGGTGTCCAACAACAAAAAGACGGCCCTTGTTTCCCATGTTGCAGACTTGGCCAGATCCGATCGCCCTTAAAAGGACCCAAACCGGTTTAGGCCTTGAGTTGTAACAAAGGGGGGTTGGTTTTCTCCCCCATAGCACGGCTCTTGGGCAAATTGATCCAAGTTGCTTTGGTGGGAAGGGCACCCTCGGGGGCGCTTTGAAGGGAACCGATTTGTGGCAACTTCGGGACTGCGGCCGGACACATGAGTGGATCTGAAACCGAATCCGAGAACTGCTTTTCTTTGCCACACGCTCGTCTAGTAAAGCGTCAGCCGAAGAAGTCCAAGTAATAGCGAAAACTTCAAACAATTTGCTTGCCGGCACCCGGGTCCATTGCAACCACTGCTTTTTGGACACTTGAAGGATATTGGACATGGGGGAAAAACAGTTGCTGCAGGGGTGTTGGTTCCATCATTTTTTTTCCAAATATGATTGTCCCCTGCTGGTCTTAAAGGGAGTTTATCACATGGAACATGATCATTTCCACGGGACCTTTGGAGGAAACTGTCCATTAAACAAGGTCCAACTAAAAGAGCAGAAGGGACCCGTGCTTGGCCCCGACCCCAAAATTATTGTCAGGGTCTGAGTATTGGCTGTCAGCTCGCAACGGAACGTTTGCGAAAAAGGAGTTTTTTAGAGAACCAAGTGCCCGCACCATCTTTCGTCAAATCAATCAGCTGATTTCGCCACGAAATCAACGCGGTTTCACCTGAATTAGCTCGTGTGGGTAGGAGAACCAAGTAGGCCAAGGTGCAAATCTCCGGGGCAGTTGTTGAGGGTTGCGTAACCAGTGGATATCAACCCCCGAGAAAATTGGACTCATGATAGACGTTTCAAAGAAACTGCCACAGCAGTGGGCTCCAGCCAAGCCTTGTGATCATCCAAATGGCGATCGTGTTTCCTTCTTTTTTTTTAGACAACACAAAGTGTGTTTCCTTTTTTGGAACTTTGAAACTGTGTATCAAAACAAACAAAACAAAAAACACGGCAACAACTTGTCTGTGTGTGTCTGGTACACTCAAACTCAAGGTCGCGCACTCAGTGCTCAGAGACCCGGATTTGTTCGTTCGAGTATAACGACAAGGACAACAACCACCTCCTTTTTTGGGGAAGGGTGGAGTCCAGCCCTTCGGCCGCCTCCCAAGCTCACGCGGAGATCATTTCCACAAACAGCGACCAGAGGAAAACGGGGCATATGGCTGTGGTAAATGGAACCATGGACTAAAACCTGCGGTCCCCTGGTGGTTGAATTTTGACCCATACCCATATACCCTTGACATTATACTGGCTACAAAGTGGTTGTACATCCCAGTCACCCCTGCTTTTGGTAGTGGTCTTTTTTTGGGAGAGGCGAAACAAAGGCAAAACCCAAGCCAAAAGAAACAGCAATGCATATTTGCTTTGCTGGCACGCGAAAACGTTGCTTCATCCAGGCAGCATGCAGGTGACAGCAAACGCCTTCCCAGTGTCGCCGAAAAAGGCTACCACAACCAGAAACATCGGCACCAGTCACTACCGGACCAGGAGCAATGCCCGAAACTGCCTGGCCCTGCCACAAACAATCAACTTGAACTGGGTCCATTGAATTAAGACTAAATGGTGGTAAGCAGAGACTCCCCCAAATGATGGAACAACCGCCCAAACGCAACATGGAGAGCGTGCTTCCTTACTCATGCATCCTCTCTTTGGGTTTGAGCGGCTGTGAAACCTTCCATTGGGAAAACCAGAGCACTTCACCAAGCTGAGAGATAAGACATAGACGCCGCAAACACACTCACCAACCAAATTCCCAGTCGATTGCTTCCATTTGCCCAGATTGGATAGTAAAACATGGGTGCTTATGGGGGTTGTCAAAATTCGGGACCCCTTCAAGTGGACGGTTTTCTTGTAGTTTCCCTTACAACCTAAAAAGGGATTGATTCTTCGATTGAGAAGCACCATGCGTTTGCCTTTTGCCCCTTGCAACCAGGGGTTACACATGGGGGAGTTGGGCTGCACCCCCCTTTTGCTTAGAAAGTCGGGCCTATGAGGTCTGTCTCAAAATTGGGAACCCCCTTTTGGCTGGTCAAGCTACCCACCTCAGCCGCTGCCTCAGCCCCCCCTCCCGTAGAAAAAGAACAACATACCTCGAAAACACACACTTGTTTGGGCTCGAAAAACCATGCTTTTGGGTTGTGGAGCTTGTGAATTATCCTCAAAACCCCCCTTATTGGGCTCAACCAGTGACCCAGTCGTTTTTCCAACACCAAACCTGGTTTTTAGACCTCCATTTTGCCTGTGGCTTGGCCCAATGAAAGCCATGGTGGACAAGTTGAGGTACCCTTTTTGGGCTGCTGAAGTTGAAATCGCAGGGTTTCACCCGAAATCGGTTTTGGGGGATCCCGACACCCGCGACGCCGATCAAAAAGCTTCGCTGAGCACCGAGGCGTCGAAGCTAAGCAGGAAGTTCACGAAGAGAAGGCTCAGCCTACACTCGAGGCTCGAGGCTCCTCCAAAAGGTGCGCAAAAAACAACAACATATTTTATGTTGTTTAATTTATTTTTCTCTGAAGTCCGCTGGAAAAAAACAAAGATGGAATCCGCCGACATTGCTCGGCGTGTCGGATACTTACTAGAGGATAGAGGATAATGCCCCCCCCCTAACCCCCCCCCGCCCGACGTCTATTACGTAGGTTTTTTGGGGGGGGGGGGGGGGGGGGGGGGGGGGGGGGGGGGGGGGGGAAAAAATAGAAGAAGTAGGGGCCCTGAGGGGAAGCCTGTTGATGGTTGCCTGTTCTGGTTTTTATGTTCATCTCAAACCTATTAACCACCTTATCCGTTTTTAAAAGAGGGTTTTTGGGGAGCTTATTTATCGTTTTCGTTAAGGTAATCATTTGGGTAAATTGTCGCCTTGTTCATTGTTGGGCTGGGGGCAAACATTTTTTTCATTTGAAAGAGGTAGCCCTTTTAGTAGTTATAATGTTCTGGGATGTTGGTGGTGCTTTTGTTTTATCCTATTCTTTGTTGAAGTCATATTCAAAATCTGATGAGGTTTCTATGTATTCTCTAATTTGTTTCTGTGTTGTTTGTTTGTTTTCTTTTGGTGTTTCTTCTCTCTTTGGTGGTTTTGGATTCTTAACATTATTGATATGCTTGTTTGTTCTTTCGTGCTTTGCTTTGTGTTGAGGGCTTACCATACATCTACAGTATTGACATTCAATTTTCCGTTGGATGTATTCTTTCCTATATGCTTGTCTGTGTTCTTTGTTTTGTTCATAATAAACCTTTGCCTTCTGCTGTATTTGTTCTTTGTGTGCTTCTCTATACCGTAGTTTATTTTCCAAGCATACATTGCATTGTTTTCTTCCCTCGTTGAACTTTTCTAACAATTGAAAGACTTTACATTTGGAACATTGCTTTTTGTCTGTCATTGGTCTCTATATGTTTAAGGGGTTATTTCTTTAGATAAGTTTAAGGGGTGTTATAGGTTAAAAGTTCAGTATAATTATAACATATAAGATTTTACAAGTTATTATTATATTATGATTATAATTTCAGTTCAGGATAATAATCTAATTGGTTTGTCTTACTTCTTTCATACATCATTTTAAAAATAATATTAACATCTCTCACTGTATTCTGAACATTAAACTTTTTACTTTCAATAAATAATTTGATATTTTCTTTAACATCTTCTCCTTTACCTTGACTATAACACAGCAACCATAATATATCATCCATCATTTCATATTTTTCTTACTAATTTTAAGAAACTGTTTAACATAATCATAAGGTGGTATTTTATTTACAGTTAGAAATATTAAAAGACAACTCCTTTTAGTGTGTGCGTTTGCTTGAGAATCCCCCGAAGAATTTGTCCAAACAATCACCCTGGGACAAGCACCCGAAACAATGGGGTGGGACAACCACCCGAAACAATGGGGTGGGACAACCACCCGAAACAATGGGGTGGGACAACACCCTGTGTTTTGGTCTTTCCCTTTGAATGTAAAGGGGAAATGTGGCTCAAAAAGGGTTTGAAACAGGGGGGTCTGTTTGTTGAAAACCTGAACTGAAACAATAGGTCGAAACAGAGGGTTGAAACAAAGGTCTTGTTTTGCACATGTTTCCACACAAACAAGTCCCCAAAACAACACGCTGAAACAGAGCCTTGTGTTTGACAACCCCCCCTTTCCCGCTTTGCCCGTCTCTGAGGTCGAGAAGTCATCGTACGGTTCGTCTATAACGCTGACGACTACTAGGTTCTGAGCACCCTAAAGCAAACTGACAATTATCTCACTAACCAAATTTGAAGGAACCCTATACAACTCATCTTGTCTATGTTAAATGTATCCCTCAACTCAAAATATCAGTATTGATATTTGCATTTGTCAAATCAAGGGAAATGACACTGAAACCCAAATCCCGAGCAACCCGGCCAACCGAGCCTGTCCCGCTAAACATCTCTAATAAGTTCATTATTATTAGAGATATTTAGATATTAATATGTTTGTTTTTGTATCGTATGTGTTTCTCGCTTCTCTCGTGTTTTCTAATATCACATTTTCTAACAACACTACCACACTCACACTCAATAGTTTCTTTTCGCTTTTCATTAATGGTTTCTTTGTTTTGGTGGTAGTATTCATGACTTTTTTTAGATATACGTTCTTTGTTTTTTTCTGAGTATTCCTTTCTCATTTGCTGGTAGTGTTCTTGATTGTCTTCTTTCCATTCATTGAAGGTTCTTCCAGCAACACATCTATTAACACAGTCAGTATTTTTGATATGATAACCCTCCTGTTTCAGTAATTGTTCTCGGTTTTCACATGGGTAATTTTCTATTAATTCAATCTTACAACTGTCCATTCCATATTCATCAAACAATAAACGACAAGTCGTTTTAGTATTCCATTCCTCTGCTTTCTTATGATTTTGCCTATGTCGTGCCATTCTTTGACTTAAGTTCTCGCAAGTGCTTCCTATATAGCATTTGTTATAACCTATATCAGTTATTTTGTAAATCTTCGCATTTTTGTATTTACTGCTTTCCATCTTATACTATCATAAACTATCTTCTCTTTAACGCAGTTTGTAGTGACCGTAGGGTAAAGAAGTAAAGGCATCTAAGTAATGTCTTTTATTTTCAAAATTACTCAAGCTCTGCTTAACTTGAGACATTGAGAATAACTGATGGTTTCGACTACGAATAAAATTATATGTTATTTCATGCTTTTTGTTTTGAAATAATGCTTCGTGATAGTTTTGATACGACAGTTCTTTCTTCACCTTATGTTTCACTACACCTTTTGATTTTTTATGTTCATCATCCTCGCCATGGATAGTAAAAGCATATGACTTGGGTTTGAGTGCTATGAATTTGGTAATTACTTTTCCGTTGCATTCATCCTTGAAATAACCGAGTTTTTTCTTATTTGTTTTATCGTGGCATGGATGTTCTACTGGATAATCGCTAAAGTCCATATATTGACTTAATTCTTTGAAGTCCTTATAAACATCATCAGTCATTGTTTGAATTACATAACTGTCAGTATCAGTATATATCAATTTGATATTTTCATTATACTTCTTTTTCAATACATCATAATAAAACTGATACATATGCAATTTGCTTAAATCTAAAATGCTCATTCCTAGGAAAATCGGTTTGTCCAGTTTCAGTTTCGCTTTAGTCTTCTCCACACCTACAAGATTTTCATTTATTATAAATCTGTTTTTGAATGTTGGGTTATTCACACATTTTTCATATCTAACTTCATTATCAACTAATTCAAAATCCATATGGTTTCGCTTGTCTTCCATGGTTTTTCCGTATATGCTATTATTCATTAATTTGAATAAATCTTTCTCAAAATCGCTTTTGGCTTCTTTCCTTTTACCAGTGTTGAAGTCAATCCACGGTTTCAACCATGCCCTCTGTTGAAATTTTATTATCCTATGGACTTTACCCATTTTCATTCCCATTTTCAAATAATACTGTAAAGTCTTAATATGAACCACATATTTTTCTTTATCCTTTAGATTTAATATTAACTTACTTGTTTTCTCGTCCTTGGGACTTTTACCATCATAATATATTTTGTAGACTTGCTTTTGATAATCAGAAAGCATACTAACATTTACATTCATTATTTCAGGCGCTAGTGGATAGTCAGAGTGGAAGTCGTGCAATGTTTCGGGATATTCCAAATCAACTTCCATAATATAACCGAACTCATCGTTTTCATTCCATTTTTCAACAATGGGAGTTTTCTTTGTCCACTTGATATTTTTTAGCGGCAACTTCTGGGACATTGCTAAACCATACAAGTTATTAGCATCCAAGTAGCTAATATAATTTGATGGCTTGTTCTCATCATATGCTTCCCCCATATACTTATTATTTGCCACCGCTAATTAATGACTAACCTGACACATACCACCTCTCATTCCCTTTTCAACCATCTCAAACATTTCTTGGTCATGCAATTGTTCTATTTCAACACCAGTTTTTAGAAGCA